CCCCCCGGCGACGTATCCCCACGCGGGCGGAGAGGCGGAAAAAAAAATGAAAGTCTATTGTCAGCTGGTAGATGGAGGGCGCGCGCGGGCGGTGCGGTGCGCGCGCATACACGCCAGAGAAAAAGGGGCCACAAAAGGCTCGGAAGCACACACCACGCACGCACACCCCCTCCTCGAGGCACACCGTCGGCTGTGTTTTTTTTTTTTTTTTTTTTTTTTTGCTGACGGGCACATCCGAGGCGGGTGTGTGCATGGGGGAAGGTAGCGTGCGTGGGGAAGGGGGAGAGAGAAGGGTGGGGGGTAGTAGGAGAGGGGGCGTGGAGGAAGAGACAGGGGAAACAAGGACACGAAGGGCACTGCACGCGGAGAGACGTCGGAGCCCCGGGAGGAGAGAGACAGGGACCAGCGCGCGGCATGCTTGGCATATGAAAAAAAAAAGAGGCGGGGGAACGACGCGAGGGGAGAGCCGCACATGCCCGGCTGCTGTTAGCGGTCGTCCCTGCTCAACGGCGCCGGCGCTCGGCACGGGTGGCCTTGAGGCGCTTCTTGTACTTGTGCTTCTTGATCTTGCGCTTGCGCTTCTTGATGTCGTTGGCCAGCTCCATGCCACCGACCGAGGGCTCCAGCTCGTCGGCACCCGGATCCAGGGGCGGGAAGCCGGCAGCCGAGAGCATCTGCGAGTAGCGGTCATGCTGCACGACGTCGGTCAGATAGCCGATGGCCGAGCGCTCGGCCTGGCCACGCGAGGACTGGAAAGTCCCGACGCGCTGCTCGATGTCGGCCATGAGGCTGTCGAAGTCCGCCTGACGGTCCTGCAGGGGGTAGTCCGGCAGGCCGGTCAGAACCCAGCTGCTGATGATGCGCGCCGGGAGGATGGACACGGCGGCAGGGGCCGGCTGGCTGGCGGCAGCCCGGGCCGCGGTCGCATGGCGGGCGGTCACCATGGACTCGGTGTCCAGGTGCTGCATGGCCTGAGACATGGAGCAAATGTTGCTGGCCGAGGGGGTGGTCTGGGCCTCGGGGGCCAGGGCGTCGGTGGGGACAAAGGTCATCGAGTCATTGGGGGGAGCCTGCCCGGCGGAGATGATGGAGTTCAGCTCGGTTTGCAGGGCCGCCGACATGGGGAGATCCCCGGTCAGGGAAGCGGTGCCGGAGTTCATCGAGCCACCGGGCGAGTGCGGCGGCGACGAGGACGAGGAGCTGGAGTACAGGGCCCGGAGACCGGTCCCCCGGGCGAGGGACACGGCGCGGGCAGCCTGCCGCAGGGGGCCGGCGTTCCGAAGGGCAGAGGAAATCATGTCGAAGCTGGCATTGTTTCCCGTCCCACCATGGTCCATGTGTCAGAGGAGGGCGGAGGAGGGGCGGAGGAGGGGCGGAGGAGGGGCGGAGGAGGGGCGGAGGAGGGGCGGACAAGACAAAGCGGCGGAAAGGGGAGGAGGGCAATG